TATAACAAAATCCAATAAAATAAAGGTATAAATATAATAAATAAGTTTCGCGATAGAAATTAACATATATATATTAACTTGTCCAACAATATCCCTATATGTATATGCATACTATATGCATATACATTTTGTAACAAATTTAACAATAAAACAAAGGAGGAGATATAATAGACTGCTACCGCGACAAAATTAATCAGCACACAAAACATATATATATATATATATTACGAATATTAACAAATAATTAATATTAATAACCCCAAGATTTTATACAATAATTATTAATCTTATACGATGATTATTAAATACGATTCAGTAAAAACTTGCTGAAATCAATTTTCATAAGCAATATGCGAATACATATCTATACATATATATATATATATATATGTGCTAATATAAAAGTCGCCCAAATGAAAATCTTCAAAGAATAAAATATTGTCAGAATCAAAAGACCTCTTGAATAAAAGATCACGGTAGAGCGTGCAATGAATTCTTCGAGCACATCCGTCGTGATCATTCTTAGAAGTAAAACGAGCCGCTTTTTCATACGTTGTTCCGAGAATTGTAAGAATAAAATTTCTTTTAGCGACATAATAACTATTAAGCGAAGCGATAATTAATTTCCATATATTCTTATTGTAAAATTTATTGTAATAATAATGGCTTAACGCATTAGAATTTATTAAAATATTATTCATAGACTTGAGTAATCATTAAAAGTCGACTTTGAAAATTTTAAAATATATACATATAAAACCACAAAAATTCTAATTGTTAAAGCCTTTATTAAATAAATAAAAATATATCTTGTAAATGATAAATCTTAATAATTAGTCTTAAGATAATTATTAAACCTGGAAATAATACGTGTAATATGCCAATTTAAACCACGTAAACGAATTTTAAAAGGTAATTCATTAAAAAATATTACTGTTACTAATGTGTCTTATAAAGAGAAAGAATGCAGTGAGCATTCTTCGAAGGACATCCAGCATATCTATTTTTAGAAAAAGAGATAAGCCATCTTCGCATCCGTTGCGTTAGAATCTGCAATCCAAATGCTAAATTTTTCTTTACTAATTATTACTAATTATTAATTTACTAATTATTAATTTTCACTAATTATTAATTTTAACTATATATGCACCATTGTAAAAATCATTGTAATAATAATGGTTTAATACATCAGAATTTACCAAAATATCACTTAAAATTTAAACAATTGCTATAAATCGAACTCAAATTTTCTAATGACATAAATATGATATTATAAAAAATTCTGATTGTTAAAAATCATTATTAAAAATTATTCTAAAATTATTTAATAAATCTAAGACTCAAGACTTGCAATCCCTACCACGAAACTCTCACCCACCACATCGCAAACTCATAGCAGGAAGGGATAGCTCCAGCAGCCGACCCACCAATCACCGAAGAGGCCCACCTCCTCTCCCTACCATTAAACGTCGAACCAGAGGAAGGTATTTAAGGCACCCCAGCTGCTCTCTCCGAGCCTTTAGACAAGTCGGTCAGCCCTCTAACACAGCTCTCGCCATTAGCTCGCCTGTGTCTCAGCTCTCTCTACGCCCATCAGATCTCCAGCTCTCGAAGAGGAAAAACCTAGAAGCCTACCGGACACCTTAACTTATTCGAAAATAACTTAGTCGCGATTTTGATTTTTTCTTTCGGGACTTAGTCTCAATCTCTATTAAGAGAGCTGTATCAACATTAACACTTTAATAAAGTGCTACCATCCAGCAACCTCTGACTCTTTGGCCATTCTCTGCGCTGCCTTGCCACTTCTTCAGGTTCTCACCGAGGTCGAGCAACCCAGGGAAGGAGCAGCGGTGCCTGCATTCATCCATTGATCCCGTCATCCGGTAAGGAAATAATAAAATAATAATCATTCTTAATCAACCTTGATAATAACTTTGTATATTAGTTCGATTTATTCTAGGCCTATTGACAATTTTCCCAGAATCTTACTTGCCCGTATACAGACTTTAAATTTTTATTTCGAGTTGAATTATTTAAATTTCAACCGATCCTCTGAGAACGCTCGAAGCGTATCCTAGAGTGTAGCGTCGTTCGAGTTAGTCACTCGATGTGCATTGAGTAGCAAATTCTACTCCTCTGCCGCTTTCACGGAGAACTTCTCTGAAAGAATTTCTCCGTGGATCCCGTGCCGCTGTGACGTGACGTCTTGCACATCGATACTAGACTCAGAATCTAAGACTCGCTCCTAGAGGATCTGTCGAAATAATAGAATTTATGCACTGGCTTACAAGTTAACTATCGAAACATTTTATGAATTTTATACTTATCTGAAGTAAGCCAGCCGCTCTCACCCGTATCCTCGTCTGTATCCTTGAATCTCCAGACCTCTCGGTGCAGCCGCATGCTCCTGGAAATTCAGTATATGTTAGATAAATTATCATTCGTTGTACGACAATTTTCCCCGAATCCTACCTTTCCGTATACAGACTTTAAATTTTCTTTGAGTTGAATAATTTAAATTTCAACCGTTCCTCTGAGAACGCTCAAAGCGTATCCTAGAGTGTAGCGTCGTTCGAGTTAGTCACTCGATGTGCATTGAGTAGCAAATTCTACTCCTCTGCCGCTTTCACGGAGAGCTTCTCTGAAAGAATTTCTCCGTGGATCCTGTGCCGCTGTGACGTGACGTCTTGCACATCGATACTAGACTCAGAATCTAAGACTCGCTCCTAGAGGATCTGTCGAAATAATAGAATTTATGCACTGGCTTACAAGTTAACTATCGAAAACATTTTATGAATTTTATACTTATCTGAAGTAAGCCAGCCGCTCTTACCCGTATCCTTGTCTGTACCCCCTGAATCTCCGGACCTCTCGGTGCAACCGCATGCCCCTGAAAAATTCAAAATATATTAAATAAATCATTAATTGCTGTACCCCAATGAACTGTATATAGCCGAACGTTTCAACCATTACATGAGAACGAGCGAGATATACCATCATAATCTACGTTCGTTTATCTCACAATAATTCATTAAGCCGTATTATTCGTCTTAACTCTATGAACCACCTTGCTGTGACTACATTTACCTTATAAAACCATTCATCTTAACAGGTACCTTTCTACGCATCATCGTAAGTAAACCCCTTTTGTGTTAAATCAATCGCATCAAATATACTAAATAGTCATATTCCCTCGGTAGATGGTTAACCCCCGCCGAACTTCTTCCGTTGGACGCGAAATTCCCCTCCGTGCCGCTGGTGTACGCCGCAGGCGTGCCTCCCGGTCGGTACTTAGGCTCCCTACAGCTCGTCAGTTGTTTGCCGACGAGAACGACTTAACAAGCAGAGTAACAAGGTACTCTCCAGTGCGTAGTTTCGCGCCCTCCCGCGCATACCCTTATCGTCCTCCCCGAAACCCTCCAGCGGTTCTTCAAGAGGAACAACAGCCCAGAGCCAGGCCGCCATCGCCCAATTACTCCCCCTCCAGGATTCATCTGATCCCAGCTACTCGCCGGTCAGGACACCGGAAGATCTTCCTTCCATACCGGAAGAACGAAGACCCATAGAACAAAGCACAGAAACTGAGGCTGGTCCATCCAACCCAGGTCAAGTTCTGGATCCCCCTGAACCAAATTTCTACCCGGAACCAGAGGACCTAGTCTTACCAAGCAGTATCCAACCCCTCGCAGGACTAACAGACGAAGATTTTATCGAGATCTACGAATACTTGCAGCGAGATAATTTCTTCAACAACCGCGAATAATAACCATATCTAGATATCGCCTTAGAAATGCTATAGAGAAGAACATTAACTACATACACACATCTATACGTATAACGATATACACTATCTACAACTGTCAAATAATAACAATAATAACAATAATAAAAATTTGTAAAGCTCTAAGGAAGTAAACTAATAAAAGAAAACAGATCAAAAAGGATAAATTGGGTCAGGTTCAACGCACCTAATTATTTCCCATCGTCAATCCCTCTCCTGAAAGAAGCGCAAAAGATTCTTAGTCTCTCGGCGTCCTAGGGTATAGCCGGCTTGGCAGGTTGCCCTGAAAAAGAAATAGAGAGAAGTATTACGTTTTGAGATTTCGTTGTTACGTCTCGATCGTAACTTCTCACGTATTTATTTGTTACGCAATTGTAACTTCTCTCTATTTCTTTTTCAGGGCAACCTGCCAAGCCGGCTATACCCTAGGACGCCGAGAGACTAAGAATCTTTTGCGCTTCTTTCAGGAGAGGGATTGACGATGGGAAATAAATTAGGTGCGTTGAACCTGACCCAATTTATCCTTTTTGATCTGTTTTCTTTTATTAGTTTACTTCCTTAGAGCTTTACAAATTTTTATTATTGTTATTATTGTTATTATTTGACAGTTGTAGATAGTGTATATCGTTATACGTATAGATGTGTGTATGTAGTTAATGTTCTTCTCTATAGCATTCCTAAGGCGATATCTAGATATGGTTATTATTCGCGGTTGTTGAAGAAATTATCTCGCTGCAAGTATTCGTAGATCTCGATAAAATCTTCGTCTGTTAGTCCTGCGAGGGGTTGGATACTGCTTGGTAAGACTAGGTCCTCTGGTTCCGGGTAGAAATTTGGTTCAGGGGGATCCAGAACTTGACCTGGGTTGGATGGACCAGCCTCAGTTTCTGTGCTTTGTTCTATGGGTCTTCGTTCTTCCGGTATGGAAGGAAGATCTTCCGGTGTCCTGACCGGCGAGTAGCTGGGATTAGATGAATCCTGGATGGGGGAGTAATTGGGCGATGGCGGCCTGGCTCTGGGCTGTTGTTCCTCTTGAAGAACCGCTGGAGGGTTTCGGGGAGGACGATAAGGGTATGCGCGGGAGGGCGCGAAACTACGCACTGGAGAGTACCTTGTTACTCTGCTTGTTAAGTCGTTCTCGTCGGCAAACAACTGACGAGCTGTAGGGAGCCTAAGTACCGACCGGGAGGCACGCCTGCGGCGTACACCAGCGGCACGGAGGGGAATTTCGCGTCCAACGGAAGAAGTTCGGCGGGGGTTAACCATCTACCGAGGGAATATGACTATTTAGTATATTTGATGCGATTGATTTAACACAAAAGGGGTTTACTTACGATGATGCGTAGAAAGGTACCTGTTAAGATGAATGGTTTTATAAGGTAAATGTAGTCACAGCAAGGTGGTTCATAGAGTTAAGACGAATAATACGGCTTAATGAATTATTGTGAGATAAACGAACGTAGATTATGATGGTACATCTCGCTCGTTCTCATGTAATGGTTGAAACGTTCGGCTATATACAGTTCATTGGGGTACAGCAATTAATGATTTATTTAATATATTTTGAATTTTTCAGGGGCATGCGGTTGCACCGAGAGGTCCGGAGATTCAGGGGGTACAGACAAGGATACGGGTAAGAGCGGCTGGCTTACTTCAGATAAGTATAAAATTCATAAAATGTTTTCGATAGTTAACTTGTAAGGCAGTGCATAAATTCTATTATTTCGACAGATCCTCTAGGAGCGAGTCTTAGATTCTGAGTCTAGTATCGATGTGCAAGACGTCACGTCACAGCGGCACAGGATCCACGGAGAAATTCTTTCAGAGAAGCTCTCCGTGAAAGCGGCAGAGGAGTAGAATTTACTACTCAATGCACATCGAGTGACTAACTCGAACGACGCTACACTCTAGGATACGCTTCGAGCGTTCTCAGAGGATCGGTTGAAATTTAAATAATTCAACTCGAAAGAAAAATTTAAAGTCTGTATACGGAAAGGTAGGATTCGGGGAAAATTGTCGTACAACGAATGATAATTTATCTAGCATATACTGAATTTCCAGGAGCATGCGGCTGCACCGAGAGGTCTGGAGATTCAAGGATACAGACGAGGATACGGGTGAGAGCGGCTGGCTTACTTCAGATAAGTATAAAATTCATAAAATGTTTCGATAGTTAACTTGTAAGCCAGTGCATAAATTCTATTATTTCGACAGATCCTCTAGGAGCGAGTCTTAGATTCTGAGTCTAGTATCGATGTGCAAGACGTCACGTCACAGCGGCACGGATCCACGGAGAAATTCTTTCAGAGAAGTTCTCCGTGAAAGCGGCAGAGGAGTAGAATTTGCTACTCAATGCACATCGAGTGACTAACTCGAACGACGCTACACTCTAGGATACGCTTCGAGCGTTCTCAGAGGATCGGTTGAAATTTAAATAATTCAACTCGAAAGAAAAATTTAAAGTCTGTATACGGGCAAGTAAGATTCTGGGAAAATTGTCAATAGGCCTAGAATAAATCGAACTAATATACAAAGTTATTATCAAGGTTGATTAAGAATGATTATTATTTTATTATTTCCTTACCGGATGACGGGATCAATGGATGAATGCAGGCACCGCTGCTCCTTCCCTGGGTTGCTCGACCTCGGTGAGAACCTGAAGAAGTGGCAAGGCAGCGCAGAGAATGGCCAAAGAGTCAGAGGTTGCTGGATGGTAGCACTTTATTAAAGTGTTAATGTTGATACAGCTCTCTTAATAGAGATTGAGACTAAGTCCCGAAAGAAAAAATCAAAATCGCGACTAAGTTATTTTCGAATAAGTTAAGGTGTCCGGTAGGCTTCTAGGTTTTTCCTCTTCGAGAGCTGGAGATCTGATGGGCGTAGAGAGAGCTGAGACACAGGCGAGCTAATGGCGAGAGCTGTGTTAGAGGGCTGACCGACTTTGTCTAAAAGGCCCGGAGAGAGCAGCTGGGGTGCCTTAAATACCTTCCTCTGGTTCGACGTTTAATGGTAGGGAGAGGAGGTGGGCCTCTTCGGTGATTGGTGGGTCGGCTGCTGGAGCTATCCCTTCCTGCTATGAGTTTGCGATGTAGTGGGTGAGAGTTTCGTGGTAGGGATTGCAAGTCTTGAGTCTTAGATTTATTAAATAATTTTAGAATAATTTTTAATAATGATTTTTAACAATCAGAATTTTTTATAATATCATATTTATGTCATTAGAAAATTTGAGTTCGATTTATAGCAATTGTTTAAATTTTAAGTGATATTTTGGTAAATTCTGATGTATTAAACCATTATTATTACAATGATTTTTACAATGGTGCATATATAGTTAAAATTAATAATTAGTAAAAATTAATAATTAGTAAATTAATAATTAGTAATAATTAGTAAAGAAAAATTTAGCATTTGGATTGCAGATTCTAACGCAACGGATGCGAAGATGGCTTATCTCTTTTTCTAAAAATAGATATGCTGGATGTCCTTCGAAGAATGCTCACTGCATTCTTTCTCTTTATAAGACACATTAGTAACAGTAATATTTTTTAATGAATTACCTTTTAAAATTCGTTTACGTGGTTTAAATTGGCATATTACACGTATTATTTCCAGGTTTAATAATTATCTTAAGACTAATTATTAAGATTTATCATTTACAAGATATATTTTTATTTATTTAATAAAGGCTTTAACAATTAGAATTTTTGTGGTTTTATATGTATATATTTTAAAATTTTCAAAGTCGACTTTTAATGATTACTCAAGTCTATGAATAATATTTTAATAAATTCTAATGCGTTAAGCCATTATTATTACAATAAATTTTACAATAAGAATATATGGAAATTAATTATCGCTTCGCTTAATAGTTATTATGTCGCTAAAAGAAATTTTATTCTTACAATTCTCGGAACAACGTATGAAAAAGCGGCTCGTTTTACTTCTAAGAATGATCACGACGGATGTGCTCGAAGAATTCATTGCACGCTCTACCGTGATCTTTTATTCAAGAGGTCTTTTGATTCTGACAATATTTTATTCTTTGAAGATTTTCATTTGGGCGACTTTTATATTAGCACATATATACAGGGTCTACCAAAAGTGTGGAAACCCCTAAATATCTCGGAAAATATACGTTTTACAGAAAAGTGTTTCCAACAAAAGTTGTAGGGTTTAAGAAGATCTATATACTGATTCTATCAGTTTGACCTTGGATGGCGTCGTCAAGGTCAGGTCAAGGTCACATTGACTTTTTTAAATGACACCCCCTACATTTGATTGCATATTCTTATAGCTTAATTCAAGAGCTTTCCAAAACACTATAATAATGTTCATTTTTATTAAGTACTTTGCGAGTTATGAGGGTTGAATGATAGAGTAGCGCCGGTATTAACATTATCCAAGGTGTACTACATGGAGGTTACTCGCTCGGATTTGCATCTGTTGTGTGTGTGATCCAGCTAACTAAGGCAAGATCGGTCGTGGATCCAGTCAGCAAAAGCAAAGACCCAACCAAATTACAATCGAGCATTTAAAGACCTGGAAAGCAATCGACATAGTAATGTTACGTCCCGCTACAAAAATTTATTTTAAATATATAATCAATATATAATCACATTACATTACTACTTATATACTCTCTCGAGTTAGTATTTTTGCTATTATATAATCGAATAATAATATAAAATTATAGAAGATCAAAATGCTGTATTATTCATACAAAGAGAATATTTCTAAAAATACTTCATTCACTCTTTATATAAAGAAAACTCAGTTATATTTAATTATTCTATATAATGAACCCACATTACATGTGCAAAAGATTCTTTAAATTCATATTAAAACTCTATAGTAAATAGCACATTGATCTTCTTGCCTTATTTTTCATAAAATATAAATTGCAATAAGCCTGCATGGCTTAAGAGATGAAACGCGCCTATAAAACTTCAACACTATTTACTCTCAATGCGCCTATATAACGTTGATCATATATACATACAGTAAAATTCTATATTAAATACCTTAATACTAATCTTATATTATTTTCAGCTCTTATAAGGGGATCAAAAACGCTATAATACAAATAATTCACTCTAATTACTGCTATTACAATATTCTTTCGCCTAGAAAAGCATTATAATTCATATTAAATAGCCTTATTGATCTTCCTTCTATTAAGCGCCTGCAAAACCGCAGCCGTTTATACTCTTAAAGCGCCTACAGAATCTATATCGTATATACAAACGCCTAAAAACTTATACCTTTAATACAGTATAAGCAGCGCCTACAGAATAGTAACCTCTTATACTTTTAAAGAGCCTGCAAGACTTCAACCCTTTCTACATGGGATGGTAAAGTCAATTCCTACTTTACCGACCAAGGATAAATGATAACATAGGAAATTCCTACCTTACCGACTGATGATAAAACAGATTTCTACTTTACCGACTTTTTGTTACCGACACTTTTCTACCTTACCTACCTATGGTAACATACCGACTTTTTGTTACCGACACTTTTCTACCTTACCTACCTATGGTAACATACCGACTTTTTGTTACCGACACCTTACTACCTTACCGACTTATGGTAACTTACCAGCCCAACGACTTACCGACCTACCAGTTACCGACATTCTACCAGGAGCATACCTCTTTTATGAATATGCTACCCTGATACTTTAAAATTTTAAAACTTTAATTTTTAAAGATATTAACCAACAAACATATATATATTTATATATATTCTTTCACTAGGAGCATGCCTCTTTCATATACATGCTATCCTAATACGTTAATTTTGTTTAAATTCAGAAGTTACCGACATACTAACTTACCGACTTACCGACATATACCTCCTATGAGAATATACTATCCTGATACATTATAAATCTTTAAACCCAAATTTTGAGGACCACAACCGAATATTTACACATGTTTTTACATAATTCCGTATATTTTCGACTCCCTAATCTACAGGGAGGTCCAAATGTTAAATTCCATTATTCTTACAAATTTTGAAGTCTTGTTGGTAAAACATATTTCTTATACGTACACATACTATAGATACTTTTATTTAGCCGTCTACATATACTATATATGCGTTACTAAATACGCATATTCATATTGTTTATAACAAAGATTCGACCATGAGCTCATCAGTTAAATAATTTATAATAATTTAAAGATAAGCCGGTGCGACAATTCGGCGACGCAAATCTATTTTAATCGAAGGACACCTGTCACATAAATTATACGAAAAAATATCGAATATCACTGATAACCTTCAAGAAAAATATCAAGTATCAGAAGAATTGTTGCCAAAAGTGACTCATCGATGACTCACCGCATCCGGTTGCATCAGAATTTTTGCTACTTCCTGATTGGCTACTCTACTTCCCCCACCACCTCAAGACCCAAAAACGGGGACGCAATCATCGTTCAAACGCCTACGCAAAATTGCGCACGCATCACCCTTCTACCGATGAAAAGCTGCGCACGCATCCAATTTTAAGAGGGGAACCAATCATCAGAGACTCCGCCCTGCGAAAAGGAACCTGCTCCCACTCTGCGACAATTGCCCAAAAAGTAGGAATCCCGTTATAAAAACCCATGCAGAGCGACTCTCTTCGCATTTGACTCTCAGTTCTTTCAACGTATAACCTTCACGCAGTCACGAGTATTTATTTTTGAGCCGAAAAGGACTTAGTCCGAGAACTGTCAAATCTTTGTACTTGGAACAAAGTATATTAAAGTTTTATTTTATCATCACTTGAGTCTTCTGCCAGTCATTCATCACCGGCTCCTTCAACTCTCCTACAGCGACGTCACCGAGGTAGACTGTCCTCCCTGGAGATCTTCAACTTTACTCTTCAGTACTCATTGGTAAGTACTTATTTCTTTTATTTTACATACTTCTCTACTCTCGTGATTTGCAACGATATTCTACTACACTTACTATCTCTTTATTACGATCTACTACGATCAATTATTGCATCTATGTCTACTCTTGAGATGGTTATATGCAATTATAATTAAACAATTGAAATAATATTGCAATTACATGTCTGATACATAAAGATTTATCGAAGATATTATTATTATTATTATTATTAATTGAATCATTAATACAAATTATTGAAGACTCATTAAAGAGCTTCATTATAAAGACGAATTTACAATCGATTTCAATTTCCGAACAGACTTCCTTAAGTACATTCATGAAAATCACATATAATGGTAGTATGTCTGTCTCTTTTTATCACTAGATTCTCGGCGCGAGATTCAAACGAATATTATTAAAGGAATCATTTTAACTATTTGATTGAAGGCTAAGCCGATACGGTATCTATCCTTCCATTTTCCAGTACCTCTGTATTCCTTCAGCTTTATAATAAACGAAACAAAAAGCAATCTATTTCCCTATCTACCGAAAGTCCAGAAATTTCTACGAATCTACATATATTTTTCATGTATAACATATAAGGAGTTGGGGAACCTGCCATTTTATTTTACCATATTTCATGGCAGTCCGCCATTTTGTGAACAACTTTCAATAGTACATCGCATATTCTTATTGAAGCAATTTGCCAATGATTTAATTCACTTTTATTGACTCTATTATTTTATTTCATTTTAACAAATTAATTAATTTATTTTATTTAAAATTATATTAGTATGACTCATCGTCGTATGACTCATCATATAATTTATTGAAATATTCTGTTAACGAACACCTGCTGTATGACTCATCATCGTATGATTCATCATTGTATGACTCATTTTTATTTTATTTTATATTCGTATGACTCATCATTGTATGACTCATCATAAAATTTATTATAATATAATTAAATTCATTTATTAAATTAAAATCTTTTATTAAATTGAACATTTGGCAATTTGAATTATTTTAATTTGAATTATTTTATTTTATTATATGAAACATTTTATTCAAATCAATTGATTTCTTGTATTTCATGAACTGTTGCCGCATCTGCGCGATACTTTACCGCTGCATCTGCGCAACTCTATTTTAATTATTTGCGATGGTATATAATTAACATGTCTCCTTATATGATCT